ACAGCACGATGGCTCTGTAAACACTGATCTTAGTACTTTTCTTCAGGTGTTTGTTTTGCCACACTCTTTTACGGAGTTTACCAAAAGCACTGTATGCCTTTGCTAACCTGTTGTCAATTTCAGCATCAATCTTACCGTCTGAGGAGATGATGCTTCCCAGGTAATTAAACTGTTGGACTGATTTGAGTGCTGTTTCACCAATGGTGATATAGGGATGATGGAAGACTTCCTGAGGTGCAGGCTGATATAAAACTTCTGTCTTCTTCAAGCTGACTTCCAGACCAAAAAGCTCAGCAGCCTCTGCAAAGCAGGATGTTAAACGCTGCAGAGCTACTTCTGTGTGGGCGACGAGAGCGGCATCATCGGCGTAAAGCAGCTCATGGATAAGATGGTTTAAGGTCTTAGTGTGGGCCTTCAGACGCCTTAGGTTGAAAAGGCTCCCATCGGTACGATATCGAATGTAGACACCGTTTTCAAAATCGAGGTCTGCCGTGGCCCTTTGGAGCATCGTGCTGAAGAAGATCGTGAATAAGGTTGGTGCGAGAACGCAGCCTTGCTTCACACCATTAGCTATTGGAAATGGCTCAGAAAGTGCATCCCCATATCTGACTTGACCGCGCTGGTCCTCATGAAGCGAGATGATAATTTTGAGGAACTTGGGAGGACATCCTAAACGTTCCAAAATCTGCCACAGACCTTTTCTGCTCACAGTATTGAAAGTCTTGGTGAGATCAACAAAGGTAACATAGAGTCCTTTGTTCTGTTCCCGACACTTCTCTTGCAGTTGCCTGAGAACAAATACCATGTCTGTGGTACCTCTGTTGGCTCGGAAACCACACTGGCTTTCGGGTAGAAGATCTTCTGCTATGGAGGGTATTAGTCTGTTCAAAAGAATTCTTGCAAGGATTTTACCAGCAATGGAGAGCAGAGTAATACTTCGGTAATTTGAGCAGTCTGATTTATCTCCTTTCCTCTTGTACAAGGTGACGATGACAGTGTCACGAAGGTCTGAAGGTACTACACCTCGTTCCCAGCAGCACACCACAAATTCGTGAAACTTAACATGGAGTGCTTGGCCACCGTACTTCCAGATTTCAGGTGGGATTCCATCAACCCCAGCTGCCTTGCCAATTTTCACCTGCTGTATTGCTTTAAGAGTTTCTCCCATGGTGGGGGCAGTGTCCAGTTCTGTTTTCACTGGTTGTTGTGAAATGTACTGCATTGCTGAGTCCTGAACTACACGGCTAGTACTGAAGAGAGTCTGGAAGTGTTCGGACCATCGATTCAAAATGGAAACTTTATCTGTGAGAAGCGTTCATATAGAATGAAGGGATTTATCCTCTCCGAGCAAATAAGCGCCTCGTTCTCTCGTCCTTCCCTTCCCCCACGAAACACTTTCCCATTCCCGCAGTAGAACGTGGTGCTCACGGGAGCCGCTCCTGCGGCACTACAGGAGGGAATATTTAGGTCACTGGGTTTCAGCTCCGGCTCTCGTGGGACTCACGCTGCTCCCTCTGGAGCTCGGGAATGGGCAGTGCTCTCCCGTGGGGCTGTCCTGAGTGCCCGGCTCGGGCGGCTCCGGCACACGCGTGTCTTTTGGGCTCCATATTTAACATTTTCACTCCCTCTCGGCACTGGTGTTCGCTCGCAGCTCCTCGCGGCAAAGCCAGCGTGTTTTGCTAATTCACAGCGCGATCCCACTGCGCCGGGAGCAGCGGCCACTCAGAGATGACGTTGTTTTCTTTGTTGCTCTGGGGAAGAGAATTCCTTGGCTTCCCTTGCCCTCTACTGGTGGCCCGCGTGGCTTTGATGCCAACTCGGTTGCTTTGTTTAATACACAATATAAATACATATATAAAATAAATATAAAAAATTATCCAAAAGCTGAGCAAAACCACAGTGAGGCCGTTTCCCCCAGCTTTTCCAAGATATTAGGAACAATGTTCTTCAATTACTCCAAAAGGAAATCATCATGAGTAATTGCTGATTTTTTTCCCCAGTTGGATCGAAGATACGAACACCGTGAATTGGGGGGGAGAAATGAAAGCAGTGTCTGCTCTGATGCTTTTGTAGAGAGCTTGGTGGACCTGCCTTGATGGAGGAGCACCATGGGCATGGACGTTCCTGGACACGGTGCCCAGTGGATGTCAACAAGGAAAGGTTTTGGTTGCTCTTCTGTAAAATTTATATGTTAGGGAAGACAGAGACGTAACAAATGACAGAGCCCATGCAGGCCTGGGGTTGTTCATCTCTCCAAGTGCCTCCTTCTGTGCAGCCTCGCCACATTCCTGCCTTGTGAGCCCCCAACTGCCGAGGGACAGCCTGGCAAGGACCAGGCCCCTCCTGGGCAGTTCTTGCTGAAGTTGACGGGGAGTTTTTTCTGTTCTCAAGGAGAAGGGGAGTTTTCAGGTGTATCACCATCCCAAGCCAGCAGATTGTGTCACTGTGGGAATGCCCAAGACAAGCAGCAGCCTGGGGCTGAAGATAAGCCTTGGGTGGGCGGCCACCCCTGTGGTGATAACACAGTGCAGCTCCTGTGGCACCACCCCAGTCCTGAGCACACAGAGGTGCTGTCAGAGCAGGGCTGACACCGATAAGAAGTACTAAGATCAGTGTTTACAGAGCCATTGTACTGTCTGCTCTTCTATATGGTTCTGAATCATGGGTCATTTACCGGCACCACTTGCGTCTCTTAGAACGCTTCCATCAGCGCTGCCTCCGTACAATCCTCAACATCCACTGGACTGACTATGTGTCCAACACGTCTGTCCTTGAACAGGCAGCAGTCCCAAGCATTGAGGCCATGCTGCTGAGAACTCAGCTGCGTTGGGCAGGGCACGTCTCCTGGATGCAGGACCATCGCCTCCCTAAGATCGTGCTCTATGGGGAACTTGCCACTGGCTGCCGCAAGAGAGGAGGCCCGAAGAGGAGATACAAGGACTGCCTGAAACAATCCCTCAGCCTTGGCCATATTGACCATCACCATTGGTCTACCCTGGCCTCCAATCGGGAGGCCTGGAGACACACCATCTATAACGCTGCTGCTGCTTTTGAGAACACACGCAGGATCACTCTCAAGGAGAAAAGACAACGCAGAAAGAATCGTGTCTTGTCGATATCACCTGGAGAGTCTTTCTGCTGTACGTTCTGCAACCGGACTTGTCTATCTCGCATTGGCCTTTTTAGCCATCAGCGCGCTTGTAGCAAGCGTGGGTAGAGCCCTTCTCAAATCTTCGTTCGCAAAGCCTAGCCATGATGACTTATCATGGAGCACCCAAGTGGTGATATCCCACCTTCCATGATGGCATCCACTTGACGTCCGTCCATCCAGATCCCTGATCCATGTGTGCTCTTCCCTCATTGCTGTGTTATTCACTGCATTTGTACTGTCCTAATTTCCAAGTGTACACACTGGTCTTGTTAGCAGCTTCTGACCAGGGCATCGATGCTGGAGGCTGTTCCAGCTCTCCTGGTGTCGGGGGCAGCTCCGTTCATGTCCCACCTTGTGGTTTTGCCAACCTTTAGATGCCCTCCTTAGGGAGTAGGAGACGACATGAGAGGAGCTTTGATGCAACACTTGAGTATTATCTGCTGTCCAGGCAATTTTTGAGGATGGAATAGACTTAAATTTCAAACAGAGCGATTTAAGATAGAAACTGCATAAAGCAACCTAATAATTCCAGAGAGCAGAGTTTCAGCCCGGAATAGGGGTCCCCGGATCCCCGCTGTGAGGTGGCGGGAGCTGTGTATGCCCAGAGAGGCGCAGGAGGGAGGAGGTGCTGGCGGGGTCGGTGGCCGGTCAGACCGGAGGGGACGGGCGTTCCGGGAGGGTCCAGGCCGGACCCTTCCCCGGTCCGGCGGGTCCCGCTCGGTCCAGCGCACGTGGCGCGGCCCGGCCGGGGGCTGGGCCTTCCCCGCGGGACCGCCAATCAGAGCGCCGCGTGCCCTCGGCGCGGGCCAATCATCGCCCGGGGAACGCGCGTTCAAACCTCGTTCCCGGGAGCTGCCGCCACCGCGGGCTGACAGGGGGAGGGCGGGCCGCGGCCCCGCGCGCCAATCAGATGCGCGAGGCGGCTGATCGGCAGGCGGTTGGGCCAATGGGGTTGCCAGGGGCAGCGCGGCGTCTCCCCGCGGAGTCCCCGCCGCCGCCGCCGCCAACCGCCCCGCGGGGACAGCGGGGCCCGCCCGGCGCGGGGCTGCGGGGCCGCCGCCGCCATGGCCGGAGGTGCGCGGGGCGGAGCGGAGCGGGGGCGAGCGGAGCGGGAGCGGGGCCAGGGCGCGGCAGGCGCGGGGCGGGGGCCGCTCGGCGCGGAGCATCTCCCCGGCGCGGAAGCTCCTCCCGGGAGGTGCGGGGCGCCGGGGCCGGCGGGACTCCTCCCCCGCGCGGTGTGCGCAGCTCGCCGGGAAGGGGCTGGGCCGCCGCGGCTCGCCCTGCCGCATCCAGCCCTTTAAACATGGCGCAGGCCAGGACGGCCGGGCGATGACCGCGGGCGGCCGCGCCGGACATGGCTCAGGCGCCCACCTTCCCCCCTCGCTCCTAGGGAAGAACATGCCCAAGACCAGGGCGGGCGGCGCGGAGAAGGCGAGCCCCGAGAGCGCCGACAGGAAGGGCCCCGGCCGCCCCCGGGCCGGCGGGGTAAGCAGTGCCCGGGCCTGGGCGGGCGGAACGGGGCGGGCCATTCCCGGGGGTCTCCTGCGCTCTCCGCTGCCCCCGGGGTTGTTGGGAAGGGGCGGGCGGCTGTCCCAGGGGACCGCGGGGCGCCGGCACGCTGGGCCCCTGCAATCATTGAGAAATCAGGTAACTTTATGTAGAACCGGGGTCTTCCCGTGCTTCCCCTGCGAGCAGCCAGGCCCAGCCCCGGCATTCCCTCCGTGCCATCTCCCCCGTCCTGCAGTTCTGTCACAGGCAGCTGGCAGGGGCTTGGATGGTCGCTTTGCGTTTAACGCCCAATAGAGATTATTGTGGCTGTTGCATTAAAGCCCCAGAGCCGCTCAGAGCCCTTCGTGTGCTCTGCTGTGCTGGGAGAATCTCTGCTCTCCAGAGTCTCCAGCCTGGCACAGACAAAGACGTGGCAGCCGCCTCTCGGTAGCGCCCGGAGCGCAGCTGGGCAGGGAGGGAGCTGGGAACGAGGGGAGGAAGCTGCGCTGGGAAAATAATTGTTGCTTTCCTGCGTGTTCAAAGCCTGAAGGCTCAGCTGGCAGGTGGACGCTGCACTTGGTTGCTCCGGCCTTTCTCCCAAAATGCCCGTGTTTGAACTCCTCACTAAATCTCGAGAACTTTGCAGCACAGGGTTCGTTGCTTGCAGTGGTTAAAATGCAGTGTTTTCGTAGTGTTTTGTGCTTCAAAGTCCTGGTTTTTTAATAAGCAGGGTTTGTCCTTCATAGGCCTTTCAGAAATGTTGGGGGTCAGGGTGTGTCCACCTCACTTGCTTTTTATCACGCTGTTCTCTGTAATCCTAATCTTCAGTAAAATTTGTTCGGGGAGTAAGATTCGAGCCTTTATCTGGCCTTATTTTGTGTGTCAGTCATGTGCACATGAAGTTTGCTATTCGTGATTAATTTAATTATTAAAATTATCCTATGTGTTGTGTGCTCTGTTTACTCTTTCAGTGTTTGTGTGCCCAGGTATTTGGAGTATTTGTTTAGTCTTCCATATTTGAGTTATTCCTTTTAACTAATGGGATCCATTGTTCCTTACTTTCCTAGAGAAATGGATGCATTTTTTTTTGTTGTTTTCACTGGCTTTTACACTTTATTTTGTGACTAATAGTGGCTAAATAGATAGCACTGTTTCTCTCCCGGGCTTCCCTGAGAGGTGTCACTCAAGCTGGAGTGTAAAACTCATTCCTGTTTTCTGTGCTGCTCAGCAGAGCCTGTAAAAGTGCAGTAACATTTGACACCTCCTGAGAGGAGCTGGAAGCTCCCAGGCTCTGAGGGATTCTCTGAGGGGTCTGGACTGGCCTTGGGCAGTTTTTGCTGCCTTCTCTGTATTTTGGTTGGCTTACACTCCCTGAGCCTCCTTCCTCCAGAGGAGCTCGGGTTGGTTTTTTTTTTAGCACCAGAGTTCGTGCTGCGAAACACAGGGTGGAGGCTGGAGTTAGTTCTGACTACCTCATCCTGCCACATTTCATCTGAAAGCTCTCTCAGACTGAGAGTTTGCACTGGTGAGGTTCTCACAGTGCTCACCACCGTTCTATTTTCACTCAGAAACAGCAACTGCAGCACTAAAGCAGCATAATTTGCACCAGCACAGTCAGCTGTTGGCCCTGCGCTCTGCAGAGTGCTGTGGATGCCAAGCTGAAGCTCCTGCAGCCTCTGTGATGTGCTGATTTCTGTGTGGGTCTGTTTTAGGAGAATGTGTTTCTTGGCCAATCCAAAATCTACAGCTACCTGAACCCTAACAAAGGTCCCGGTGCTCGGCCCCCGCTGCAAGAGGAGAACTCGGTCATGTATCACGAGGGGAAATGTCAGGGCAAAACACTCAAGGAAACCTTCAGGAGAGGAGCTGGTAAGATTGATTTTGGGATTCTTATCTTGTTAAATGTGCTCACCCCCTACCCACAATTTGAAACTGTTAATACCCAGTGAATGAGGCTGGGCAGCTCCCTGGGCCCAGCAGCTTTCCCAGAATTCCATTGCCAACTCTATTGGCAAACTGGGACTCCACAAAGATGGGTGTGCCCTGATCTTTCTCAAAACTTCACTCATAGGTTTACCAGGCAATTTTTCCTTCTGTTTTTTGTCTGGACGTGTTTCTTTTGTCTGGATATAAAAACCTAACATTTGTGTTGTGAATATGCCCCAATTTCCCTGCAATTTTATTACTTTGCTTCTTTGGGTCAGTGCTTGGAGTTTGTCTAATTTCTGGGGGATCTGCTTTATTAACTAAAACTGGCTTATTCTGTAATTTGACTAATTTATAGAAAGTCATATTAGGTATGAGGTTGAAGTGCTGGTAGAAGACACAAAAATTGTCAAATTTTTAGGAAGAAATAAAAGCAGTGGGAAGGAGGAGCACAGAGTGTGAATGCTGAGTGCCAGGGGCTTCACTGTAGTGACTGGAAATGGGAATGATCCATAAGCTTGTGGAGAGGAAGAAAAACTCAGCTGGGCTTGTGTTTAAAGGTGTATTTTTAATAACCTGGGTAATTTGTCAAAACTTTTTGATGCAAATGCCTTGAGCCAGCAGGTGTTGTGAGTCCCTCTCAGCATAGCAAGTGCCAGGTTTGCTGCAGACTCAGGGCCTTTGGCTCCTGATTTGGCTCCCCAGCTTTGACAGGGAAGTGAAGATGGCTTTGGTTGCTCCCTGTGCTGGGGCCTTGCCAGCTGTGCTTCCCTTCTCCAGGGAGATGAAACATCTGGCTCAGCAGATGGGACTGTCCAAGCTGGGCCTTTGCTCTCCATGAAAAGCTGACTCAGCTCTAAGCCCCGCTCACCTGCCTGTGCCCCAGCTGTGTGAGCAGGGGGAGGTGATGTCAGGGGAGGAGCAAAACTGTAAACCCCTGGAATTCACTGCAAGCTCTCTGGTGTAGCTGGCCCTGAGCTCAGAGCCTTCCTTTATTCTCCTGTCAGCAGGAAAAAAGAATGGTGGCAAAACAGTGGAAGGTGCTGTGAAAGCAGAAGAGCAGAAGGAGAAGGAAGGTGGCTGCAATCCTTCGGTGCCCTCTGACCAAAAACAAGAAAGCCCAGAAGCTCAGAAGCCCCCCCTGCCTGCAGACTGTGCTGAGGAGGCCAAGGCAAAGCCAGCTCAGAAGAAGATGGTAAAAGCAAAACGTGGACCAAGGAAAAAGTAAGTGACCTGTCGAATTGTAAAAGAAGAGCACCTGGGTTTTTTTTTGGAATATTGGACTTAAAACCCCCACAAAATCGCATCCAAGTATTGATCTGCCTTGCAGAGAACTTGTTTTTTGTGATAGCAAGGTCAGGGTATTTTATCAGCAGTGAAATACTTGCTGATCACCTGTGGAAAAAGAAATTAATGAGCCATTAAGCCCTACTTTTCTGGGGACAAATGGGGATGTATCTTGTCAGAAACAGAGCGGTTGGAGGCTTCCTGGCTGAGCTGATCCTCTTTCTCGTGGCATCAGAGCAGTGTGACCTGACATTAATGAATTCCTTGCCAAGCAGTTTTCATGACCTACATTTTCGAGTGCCTTCTGGCAAGGCACACAGGGGGCTCCAGACTTGTGCTGTGACCTTCAGTTGATTTCCAATGGCATCTCATTTTTGTTGTTATTAGTACTGGAGCAGGGGAAATAGTGTGGGGGGAAAAAAGGGGATGTAGCTTTGGTTGAAGAGTACTGATAACAACCACTGATTCATCTTGGCCACCCTTCGGCATACCAAGCTGAAAATACAAATTTCTTGCACACACCTCTGTCCTAGAGGTGTGACTTCACAAATAGTCTGAAAAGTGTGTGTGTTCTCTCTCTTTCTTACCCCTTAGAACGCAAGGAAGGCCACCAAACCGAAAAGTGACAGATTATTACCCAGTCAGGAGGAGTTCTAGGAAGAGCAAATCTGAATTGGAGGTAGGGCCTCTTGTTTAAGTGACATTGCTCCTAACGTGGCTGGTTAGCCGCAGATTTGAGGAAGTGTGTAAATATCTGTGAATGGTTTCCATTCCAAATACAAATAACACTGTGCACTGGAAGTACATGCTTAAAATTTGGAAATGCTGGTCCAGCTCTAGGACAGAATGCAGCTGTTTAAGCAGAAATCTGTGTCTCTGCCATTCAGTTCTGCTGGAAATATGGGATGGTCTGGGACAATGGGTGTCACTGGCTGGTAATACCTTTCAGCTCTAGAACACACTACAGAAGTTGTGGTTTTGTTTGTTCTTGTTTCTTCTACAGACTGAGGAGAGGAGGAAAATAGATGAGCTGATTACAAGTGGGAAAGAAGAAGGAATGAAGGTAAATGCAGTGCCAGCCAACAACTGCTCTTAGTCTGTACAGCCCATTGCTGTGGGGTTTGTCTGGCTCTTGGTGTGATGGCTTGCACTGGTTTTCCTCCCACTGCTGTCCAGTCCAGTTAAGGAGACCAAGAGCTTACACTTGGGTTGTTCTGATCAGCCCTTTTAGAATTCAAAGCAGGAATGGCCCCTGGAAGTGCAGGAGAGCTGTGATTCTTGAAAAGCAGCAACCTGTAGATAAAGCTTGTCACATCTGTGACAGCCACATAGGACTTTCTTTGAGGTTGTCCAATTTACAGGGGGAGGCAGGAATACTATACTGGTGGCTGATAAATGTAATTTTTGTAATCACTCTTACTGTTCCTTTAACTTTCTAACCTGTGTGTGCTGACATCCACCTGAAATGGAGAAGTTCACTGGGAGTTTAAGTGGAAAACCAGACACCCAGAAAAGAGTTAGGGTTTATTTAAAGTAACTCTTATTTCTCTGATTAGAAGCCTTTGTGTCACACTACCTGGCAGCCTGGGTGTATCCCAAACTCATCCTGTGTTTCTTCCACAGTGTCAGGCAGCTGCTACAGCTTTGTCTGCAGTTCACACAAATTCCCTTTGACAGCATTTTCTAGTGACAAATCCCTCATTTCTCGGTAAATCAGCCTATCTGCAGTCACGTAAATACCTTCTAATTTCCCAGCTGATTTGCTTTTCAACTCTCCAGATCGATTACATCGATGGCAAGGGCAGGGGAGTCATTGCTACGAAACATTTCACTCGTGGGGAGTTTGTGGTGGAATATCACGGGGACCTCCTGGAGATCACGGACGCCAAGAAACGGGAGGCTGTGTACGCTCAGGATCCATCCACGGGCTGCTACATGTACTACTTCCAGTACCTCAGCAAAACCTACTGGTAAGCTCCTCTTCCTTCAAGCTCCCAGGGGCTTTGGGTGCTACTCAACCTTTTTTTGTTTTCATGCCAGTGTTGTGTTTTTAATGGGAACCGGGAATTATTGAATCTTTCGGATCTCTGATCCACGGGCCGAGAGCGCCTTCCCCATCTGGGCTGATGGGTGACTCGGAGCGCTGTTCCCTGGAGTGCAGCACAAGCACATGGAGAGCTGCATCTGTTTGGATGAGACTTCCAGCCCTGCTTATTCTCTTCTAAACTCGACTCCTTTTTCTGAGTTGCAAGGATTCGCTTTGAAATGCCCGATGGACAAACTGTCTGGAAGAGAAACATTTCCTTCAGGTGTCTCTGACTGGGTGTCCTTGTTCCCCCAGCACCTGACACATCCCCTCCAGCTCCATGCTCTATCATATCTGCTGGTTTTTTTGCCCCAAACTCCATGTCTCTAATTACTCTGCATACATTCTTTCCTCCTTGGCTGATCCTGCTGGATACTGGAGCGTGGGTCACTTAACCAGGTCTCTGGAATTTGGGCATGTAGTATTTAGGCATTCTCAGCCTTCCTTTTGCTGATTTACTTTTGCTGGTTTAGTCAGTAAATAGCCTTAGCCTGGAGACAGCTTTCCTGAGGGGAGGATATTTGAGGTATCCAGCCTTTCTGGTGGTGTCTTACATCTGGATTCAACTATTCCTGAAAAGAGGAGCTCAAACAGTCTGAAGCTTTCAGTCTTGTGCTAAATTAAAAATCTCCCAGATTGTTTTAGTTTCCCTGCTTTGCCATGTTTATTGGTCTGTAATGTTCTTCCTCTCCTTCATTTTCCAAGCCTTGTGTGGATTCCTCATTCTCCATCCTGTTTGCACTCGGGTTTTGCTCCACAGAAACCGTTCTTGTCCTTTCAGTGTCGATGCTACAAAGGAAACGAATCGCCTGGGAAGGCTCATTAATCACAGCAAATGTGGCAACTGCCAGACCAAGCTCCATGACATCGATGGTGTTCCTCATCTCATCCTCATCGCTTCCAGGGACATTAAAGCAGGGGAAGAGCTCTTGTACGACTATGGGGACAGGAGCAAAGCTTCCATTGAAGCTCATCCGTGGCTGAAACACTAATTCATCTTCTTTGCTTTGGTTTGTTTTTTTTTTTTCCTGGACTGAGTGTTCTCCAAGGAGTCTGGATTTCCTTCTCCTGCCCTCGCTCCCCTCAGCTTTCCGATGGACTGCTCCTGATCTTCCGAGCTCCTTTTTGCTTTGCAGTGTTTAAACACCTCTTACACTTTTCCAGACAGGCTTCAATAATCGAGCTTAGATTGCCAAAACTTTTGTATCACCACAAAAGGAAACCCTCCCTAAAATCTGAATGCTTCTTGCCCAGTGACCGGTGCCACTTGAGCAGTCAGAGACTGGCACAGAAACTTTCAATCCCTGGGGTTGTGCGGCTGCTTTCGCGAGGAACTCTCCTGCTCCGCTTTGGGGCGATGAACTGGCCGATAGCTCTGATAGCAGAAGCGCTTCTGCACTCTGCTCATGGCCTGACTGCCTGTCACGCTGCTGTCCCCAGCCCAGTGCTGACAGGCTTCCCTGACATGGATGCTCCTGTCACTCTCCAGTAATTTGGGGTAGGAATCCAGTTTTCCCGGTGTCGTATAATCTGTTGGCAATGAACTTTAAATGCACTGGCACTGAGGGGGGTGGGGAAAAAGGATGGTCAGATTGGCTGCTTTCTTTGGAGAAATGACTCCCAGCCAAATGAGGATGGATTGGGATAGACTGGGTGGATGCTGAGTACAAATGTGAAGGTAGAGCTTCACGGTGAGAATCAATGTTTGACGTTACTTATTTTCTAAAATTTAAGAAGGTACCTTTTTATATCGATGGCTGATTGTTGGAGGTGTCTCCCAGAAGATTTTAAAGAAGTAAAAGCTCTCTCCAAAAATTTTTATATTACCTTCCTATGCTAGTTTAGCCACATCAGAAGCTATTTATTTACTGTGAATGCTTGAAGTAGAGCGTAGCGGTTCCAAAAATAGGAGTCCTCTTCACCTGCAGCTTCAGAGTGTAACAATGGAGCTCGTGCAGGGAAGAAAGCAGATTCCTTATTGCCTGGTCCTGTAGGTCTGTCCAGCGTGGTCTGGTCCCACTGTGTTACATGGGAGTCAAGCACTTGGCATCTCATGGCCGTTTGGAATGTTCCTGTTGGAGAATCTGGGATATAGGCAGGCAATACGATGCAGGTCCTTTATGTTAAAGATGATTTCTTACCAGTTGGAATTTTTGCCAAGGCAGGCTTGGCACGTGTGTAGATGAAAAATGGCTGTGAGCCATCAGCCACGCTTGCTGCTGGAAGATGTCAGCAAGGAATCTGTGGCTGTGTTAATGTCTCCTGTTCCTCATGTCTTGAAGGCTGCTGCTGTTCCGGCTGAATGCCCTCTAGGACAATCTCGTGCTTGCCTATGTGATAGGTCGGATAGCAACAACATCCTGGTTGTGTGCTCCAGCAGCAAGAGAGGTGGCTTAGTGATGTATTTTTTAAATTAAAAACTTGAAGACAATGTCTGTGTAAAATAAAGAATATATTTATTATTGATGAAGTGGCTGCTATACTACCTGTCTCCATTGCAGTTGATGAGCATTGGAAAGCAAGCTGTGAAAATCATTAGCTGTGATGAAATGCTTGATATTTACTGCTTAACACGAGGCAAACTCGGCAGAGCCTGCCTGGGTGTGTTCACAGCTCTGAAGAAGTAACTGGAGACCTGTTCCCTTCCCTGTGCTGAGTTTCAGGTAAGATAAGGCCAACTTAGCTGAGTTGGCAGTGATTTTTTTTTTCTCTGGTCTCAGTAGCAGAGACCTCAGCAGCGTGTACAGTATCCCCTTAAACTAGAGCACTTCCCTGAAGATTGGAGTCAAATTATTCTTTTGGGGTTATTTTATTTAAATATTTACTTGTCCTTTATCAGGTGGAATAGCTTAAAACCTCTGTTCTTCAGCATCACTTGTGTAAACAAAAAGGGGAAAGATCTCCCTGTTTTACGTAAAAACAAAGTTGTCTTCTCTGAAAGGCTTAACTGGTCATGGAGTAGCACTGGGTCAGATGGAAATAAAGCTGATGTTGCACTGCATGTGTATCCTTGACTTTCCTAGGAGCTGAGGTATCAATGGATTTCTCACAGAAACTGCCACTTGCATGTTTATCTCTGTCCCTGTTAGGAAGGTTTCATCTTCTAATATAAGTAAAGCACTTCCCAGGGAAAGGTGCCCTTGGGTTGGGAGCTAAACTGCCCTTTGTAAAGGAGACTGGAAAGTACATTCCTGGATAAACCCCAGGAGGATGGAGTTCAGAGCACATCTCTTTTCACCCTAGAGGTGTATCCTGGCTGCTGTTAATTTGTGATTCTTTCTTAATTTCAAGCACAAAGCTTGTGCTCAGGCAATGCAGTGATTCCTTCCCTGCTTCACCAAATACATCCTGAGGGCATGGCTGAGATTGGGATTTTGAAGATGGCAAAATGACTTGAGCAGTTGATGCCCTGCCTGACCCAGCTGGCTGAGGTCAGAGCAATGTGCTGGTGCCTCCTCATGCCCAGGGACTTTGAGGGGAGGCTGCAGCTCTGCCTTCTGCTCAGCCACCCTCACACTGCAGCTGTGGGAAATGGCCTATATTGCTCATGCTGCCAGTGTGTGAGAGGCAATCAAAAGACTTCAGAGACTTCTGAAGAGAGTGAGATCAGAGTTTGATCCCTGTCACTGCTCCTTTTATGTCTGCTCAGGCTTTTCTGCTCTGGGTATTCTCCCTTTCTAAATGGGGAATCTAATTGGAGTCTTTCAAGCTTTCCCACTCCTTTGCCCTAAATCCTTCCACTGGTGCTCAGTCTCATTCCTGGGGCCAACACCCAGCTTGTGGCAGCTGATGGGAAGAAAAGAGCTCGTGTAAAACCCATCTGCCTTCCCCAGGAGCCCTTCAGCTGTCAGGAATGAGGGGTTTGCTGCATCTGTTCCAGCCTGAGCATTCCTGCACCTCCTCCATCCTTCCTGTGGGCAGAGCAGCTTTCCTTCCCTTGCTGGGCTCTCCTCTCCACTCTCCTTCATCTCAACCCCAACCAGCCCCTTGGGAATGCCACGTGTCTCTTAAATATCATCTTCATCTTGCAGAATCCCTTGGGCTGAGTGCTTGGATAGCTGGACAGGGGAAATGTGTTATTGTACCGATCACCACAGGCTCTTTTAATAAGAATAAACCCCACCTGTGTATAAAGATTTATTTTCTACGTGTGGGGAATGTCTGACAGGAATCTAAGAAATACAAAAAGTGTCTGTTTTAAACAGTTTCTGAGAAAACAGAGTAGAAACTATCCTGAAGGATTATTATACAACACAGTTTTGATGAGATTGCTCCTTCGCTGCAGTGGGAGTGGTGCTGCTGCTCCCAGCCCTTGTCTCCTCCCTCATCAGGGCCGTGCTCAGCGGGAGTCCTTGAGGATGCTCATTTTCCATGTTTAAAAGAAAACCTAAAAAAAAGGCAACAAGAGAAAGGAAACAGTGATGTCCAAGTGGACAAGCAGCCGGGAATGCTGGGAGGGGGCTGTGTCAACGTGCTCTGCTCTTGTGGGGAACTTTAGGGCCAGGGCCTGAGCTCATGGGTGCTGTGGAGAGTGAACACAAACCTGCAGGGCGACTGTGTTCCCACAGCACAGGCTGAGGTGCTGGCAGGGGAGGCAAACAGTGCATTGCTTTGCTCTGAAATACTTGTTTTTCCTAAAAAGAAGTGACTCCCTGCTTGCCTGGGTGGAGGTTCCCTTCCTGTGGAGTGCTTTTTCCACAGGAAAAGATTTCCTTATCAGGTTTGTAACATTACAGGGGGAGCAGGAGAAAACAATCTCCAGCCAACCAGGCTAGAGTTCAGCATCCATGCCTGCATTCCCTGTGGGTGAGGGTGCCACGTTCTCCCAGATTGTGCCCAAAAAGCTACAGACAAACTTACAGCCGTTTGATGATTGTCCTCTCCTCCCTGTCCTTGCTGGTGCCGGCGCTGCTGCCACCGCTTTCTTTTTCCAGTTCTTCAGTTTGGTCCTTTCTCTGGGAGATGATCCCACTGGGAAAAGAAAGGGGTTTGTTTATGTTTCATGGCTTTGTGCACAGTGACAGCGTGTTCATGTTAACCCCTGGAGCTGGGACATGGATGAATGGGAGTTCACAGGCCAGGGGTGGCAGCCCAGCCTCTTCCTCGTAATGAATGGAAAATAAGGAATTGTTATCCCTAAGGATTGCAGTGAGGCTGTGCTTTAGTGGGAACACTGAAGTAACAAGCTGACTTTTCCACAGGAGAACAATGGCAAATCCTGATGGGGGTGAAAGGGATGTGGAATTACAGGTTGGATGTGTAGAGAGGTCCAGGGATAACAGGAGGGTGCAGACACACAAGGTGAATTCCTGCATGGATCTGTGGTACCTTCAGTGCAGCCACCGAGGCTGGGAACACATGGGATATTCCCAGCTCCCTGCAGGGCAGGTGCCTGTTCCTCTTTCCACCCTACAGAGGAGAGAAGAAAGGCTTTGCCTCAGCTCTCAATTCTGTCATCCCACTTAGCTCTTCCTGCAGTCCACAAGTTGTAACCTCCTACTTCAGCTTTACCAAAGGAGTTTTCCCTGCTTGGAACCAGGTTGGACTTTCCCAGCCTGCACACTCAGTGTTTTCCCAGCCTGCCAGTCACTGTCCTGAGCTGACCTCATCTGCTGGGAGGAAAGTGGATCAAACCTGTGCCTGCAGGAGCCAAGGGCTGGGAGCAGCCAAACAACCCTCGCTGGGTTTGGAAACACCAACAGGGAGCATCCAGAAACTGCTGTGACATCAGGAATGAGGTAATGCTGAGGCAGATTCTCCTCCTGGAGAAACAGGACTAGGAGCTGTTTGGGGACGCTGCAGAGGTGTAATATCTGCACAACTTCTACCCAGAGATCACCATGAAAACTGCAATCCCCAAACGCCAGCAGTGAGTGGGAGCCAGTCCTTGGGGGGTGTTTGGTACCTTGTGCTAAACTGAGCTTATTTCCAATATACACAAGGCATTTTAGACCATCTATTTATCCCCTTCCCCTGCACAGCTCCTCTTTATGGCTGTGCAATTACAATTAGAATTGTACTCTACAAGGAGATAACCTCATAAATTACTAGAACTGAAAAGCAGCCCTGACACACTCAGTGCACGGCACTGTGACTGAAACCACTCAAAACCTGAAACCATCCCCACTGCTAATTTTTAACTTGGCCTGTACTAAGCTATGGAACAGCTGGGAAATCAAAGCAAGAAGCCATTTCAGTGGCTGCACAGCAAGGATCCAGCTGAGCTGGGGAAGTGCTGTCAGGCAGTTTGTAAATTCTTGGATGTAACCTTTAACTTCCTGGCTTCACCTGCCTGTTGCAGAGGAGACAAAGGGCAGGCTCGCTGTATCCAGGAGGCTGTTATTGAGGTATCTCAACTGAAATCTGCTGTGCTTGTTTTGTGTCTAGATTAGGAAGTAGTTTCTTGCTCCAAAGAGTTTATAACCTAATCTGAGGAGGGGCAAAAGGCTTGGGGAGAGCAGCCCTGGGGGTGAATGAATTTGTAGCACCAAGAGCGAGGCCCTTCCCTCATCCCACCCTTGGCTCACACAGGTTCTCCCAGGCTGGTCTCTTTGAGAAGGACCAAACCCTCCTCCCAAAGCACTTGTTGTGCACCGTTCAAGTGCCTCTGCTGTCAGCCCTAACCCCCCCAGCTTCTCTTGAATGATGAAAAAGCTCATGTTCTGTCCCTAGAGCAGTCCATACCCTGTGGGAGTGCAGGACTGGATATCAGGCAGTGTCCCCACACTGCAGGAAGAAGGAAACTTTGCCTCAGGCTGAGCTGGGAAGGCCCCTGTGCTCTTTGGGGGTGGCTTTGGACACTGTGTGTGCAACTGCCCAGGAACCCACGGGATGAGGAGTGAGAGTAACTGTGCTTTAGGAACTCTGAGGAACTCTGAGAACTGTGCAGAGCAAAAGGGAGTTCAGTTTTAAAATTATGTTGTATAGAGACTTCATTGTTTCCCTCTTTTCCTTCCAATGCTTTTGGGAGCGGAGGTGTCTCTTACAGGCCTGGCCCGAACCTGCCACACTCTCATCTGATAAGCTCCCCAGACAAGAAGTAATTAATTGTTATTAGTAGTTATTAGTCCTCGCTGCCTTCATGCTGTACCTCTTATAGCACTGTAGCTCCTCTTGCACCACCAGAAGCTGAGCTTTCAGCTGGTTTCTCTCTTGCAACACATCTCTGAGCTCCTGCAGCGTGAATCGAGGCCGGTTGGGATCTGTGAGGTCGATCACCATTTTATCTGGTCCAAGGCTGACCTGGAAAAGAAACAGTGGTGGTCATGATCTCATAACCTCTCAAAACCATGGAGTGATTTGTAGGACTAGTACAAGTTGATCACAATCCTGATGTTTTTCCAAGCAGTTATTTATAGTTCTTCATATTCCTTTTGTATTCCCTTGGTGACTGCATTTCCAGTCCCAACTGTGACAGGCTCTGACCACAGCTAAAAGCAAAGTCTCTGTCCCAAAGTGACTGCAATTTACTTTGCCAAGAAGCTGCTTTTATCAGCTTTTCTGATGATGGGAGAGGCCAAGCAACCCAACGTCACATCTGTGGCAGAGATAGGTGAGAACTGGATTCTCCTTTCCTAACGTAAGACCCTTGTGGTAATGGCTTTTTTTGGTCCCGGTTTCCCTCGCACAGAGTAACAAAGCTCCAGCGTCTCCTCAAATGGCAAACCGGCCTCTGTGGGGCCGGTGCTGTGTGAGAACTGAACACGGTGGGTTTGTACTCGGTGAACTCTGTGAACATCTGAACAGCTCTGCTGGCACCGCACGTTGCTGAGATAAAGCGGTGAAACGGGAGCGAGGGATGCGCAGCACCGTGACCTGGAACTCCCCACGGGAAGGGCTCCATGGCCAAAGATGGGAAGTGACACTGTGAGACTCGTTCTGCTGCGACAAAAGAGACCACGCGCATCCTCCGGCCCCTCTGGTGTGGATCGGGGCGGGCTCCGCGACCCGCACGAGTCCGGCCCGTGTCCCTGTGCCCCGGCCGGGCCCGCACCCACCTGCGGGGCGCTGCCCGGGGCCGCCGCCGCCCGCAGCTGCTCCAGCTCCCGCCGCAGACTGTCCCGCTCCCGCCGCAGCTGCTCCTCGGCCACGCTGCTCTCGCTCACCAGCGCCTCCAGCATCTCCAGCACCCGCACGATCCTGAACTGCAGCCGCGCGCGGGCGGCGGGGAGCTCGGGCCCGGCGCGGAGCTGCAGCAGGTCCCGGCCCACCACGGCCGAGATGTCGTACACATCGGCGGCCGTCAGCTCGAACGGGCTCTTCTCCAGGGCGCTCTCCGGGCCGCCATCCCCATCCTCCTCCTCCTCGTCCAGCTCCTCCTCCTCCTCCTCCTCCTCCTCCTGCCGGCCCCGCTGCATTCCCGCCGCTCTATCCCTCCCTCCCGCCGGCCCGGGCGGCGCTGCCGCGGGCGGAGCGGCCCCTCCCGCCCCCGCCGGGTCTGTGGCCGCGGCCCGGCCGCGCTTCCCGCCCTGCCCCTTCCCCTGAGGAGGCACCGCCCGCCCGCCGCTGCCGGTAAGGGAAGGGGGCCCCTCGATCGGCCCCGGGAACCGGCACCGAGCCGGTTCCGCAGCGCCCTCCGGGAGCGGGGCTGGGCCGGGGGGACGGGAGGGCTCCGGCCGGGCGGGAGCGGGGAAAGGGGCTGAAATGGAGCCCGGCGGGAGCGGCCGCGGCTGCCCCGGCCCGGAGAACCGGGACAGGAGGGGAGGGGAGAGGCGGCGGCGGCGGGAGCGGGGCTGAGGGGCCTCCTCGGGCTTGGAACGGGCCGGGCAAGGCCCGCGGGCTCCCCGGGGGCGGCTCCGGCCCCCGCCACGGGCCTGCCCCGCCAGGGGCACTCGGACAGCGGCCACGCGGCCGCTTTAGGAACGCTTATCTCATTTGGGGGCATTTTTGAACGAAGGCACAGCACATTGGGGCTCAGCCTGTGCCTGCTCCTGTGAGCACGGACGATTTGTGTCTCCCCCGGCAGGCCATGGCTGACTGGGCCCCCATAGCCAAGGAGTACGACCCGCTCAAGGCCGGCAGCATCGACGGCACCGATGAGGAGCCCCACGACCGGGCCATCTGGCGGGCGATGCTGGCGCGGTACGTGCCCAACAAGGGAGTCACGGGAGATCCTCACCTCACCCTCTTCGTGGCGAGGCTCAACCTTCAGACCACAGAAGAGAAGCTAAAGGAGGTCTTTTCCCGATACGGAGACATCAGGAAGGTCCGTCTGGTTCGGGACCTGGTCACGGGCTTTTCCAAGGGTTACGCCTTCGTTGAGTACAAGGAGGAGCGGGCACTCCTGAAGGCCCACAGAGACGCCAACAGGCTCGTCATCGACCAGCACGAGATCTTTGTAGACTTTGAGCTGGAAAGGACTCTCAAAGGATGGATCCCCCGCAGGCTCGGAGGTGGCTTTGGAGGCAAAAAGGAATCCGGGCAGCTGCGGTTCGGAGGGCGGGACAGACCTTTCCGGAAGCCCATCAATCTGCCGAACGTGAAAAATGATTTCTATGGAGAAGGATCATCGGAGAAAAGGAACTGGAATCGGGAGGGAACGAGGGACTGGAGAACGAGGGACCGGGACCACGAGAGGAGCAGAGACAAGCGCTGGGGGGAGAGGGAGCGCTCGTGGACTTGGGGTGAAGGTGAGAGAGAGAGGGACTCCAGAGAGGAGCGGAGCAGAGGGAGGGACAGGAAGGACAGGGACAGGAAGGACAGGGACAGAGACCGGAGCAGGGAGAGAGAGCCCAAGAAGCAAAGAGATGATGATAAGCACAGATAGGTGACCATGGCTCACTCACTCATTGGAAATACAGGAATAGAATAGCAACGAACTAAAGCTTCTGAGAAATGGGCCCCAGAACAGAAGCTGGTGGGAATGATTTCATTCTCTTGAAGATGCTGGGACAGGTGAGACCTTTGGTCCTTAAGTAGTTCTGCCAGGTGAGAGACAAGCGTGTGACCAGTCCATTTTGTACTCATGGGAGGATGTGGCTCCTTTGTACCCCAGGAATGTGCAGCACAGAGCAGTAAACAGGTCAGAAAGTGCCTCATGTTCCTGATGAGTCCATGGATGTTCCCTGAGGGATGGTGTCATGGGTAAATGTTGCAGCTGCACCCGCTCTGTTCTCTCTGCCAGTGAAGCTCTGCCTGCTCAGGGTTTAAATCCACTCTGGAAAGTGGGTTTGCTGCTGGTTTGGGGAAAGCAGAGGCCAAGCATCTGTTTCAGAGCCAGGATGTCTGTACAGACACACATCTCCTTTGGGGAGCTTACAGTGCTTTCTAGAAAGGGCTCTGTCGTGTTCTTTGTCATCATAAGCCAGACAGATAACATATTTAAACTATATTTTGTAAGCCTTTGGATGGCCCTGTCCTAAACCTTGCCCAGTTTGATGCTGTATTTCCATAAAGAGTTGTACACACACAGATCCATGGGCTGCATTCCCAAGAAGGGCTGGTATTAACTTTTTACAGGTTTAAAAAAAAAAAAAAAGGACACAAGTGTTGCAGAAATAAGTGTTTTTCAGAAATATTTATTAAACTGTTAAAATGATTTACTGTCCAACCAAAAAAAAAAAAAAAATTAAACCAACTCATAAAATGTCCGATCCTGCACTTGGCAGGCAGGATTGTGACACCCCTCACCTGCCACCATCCTGGCCCCTTTTCTAACAGCAGATGTTCCTTGAATACAGAGAACCAAATGACAGATCCAAAATCTTCACAAATGCTTCCCTCTGGGCCACCCTTCCCGATGGCACTTGTGGACTCAGCACTTCCAGCATGACAACGAGTGGTTAATGGCAGCAGGTCGGGAGGAACTAACGAGGTGTTCGAGGTAATGGGCTACAGAGATGAGTGGGGGAAGCTTGTCCTGCTTAGCGCTGTGCTTTGATGTTGCTGCAGATCTGGCCTGACAGTGGTGCCCAGGGCTCTGGGCTGGGCTTTACTGGGCTCTGGGCCGGGCTTTGCTGCACCAGGAGCACGGTTTAGGCTCGGTCTGTGTGGTTCCATTATCCCAGCTCACTGCTCTCAGCTCCTTTCCAAAGGGATGTGCTTACTCTGGCGTTGTTTGTGCTCACTGCACCCCTCCTGGATGTGCCCCATGCCTGGCAGAGACTCCACGGGGTCACTCCCAATTCAGCAGCAGCAGGATGGAACTGACTGTGCTTCTGCTTTTCTCATATGGAAGTGAATGCAGATCTTGGCAACTTAAGTCTCATTAAATTAGGACACTCCCCCCGTTTAAGAATTGCTTTTCACCCCGTGGGGGAAGTGCTGCTGTTCCGTGGGTGTTCCCAAAACACGACCAGGCAAAAGCTCATCTGCCCAATTCCTGTGTCAGCCACTGCTGTCACTGTCTAATGCAGGTGTCTCCTGTAAGGCCACGTGTCCCCCCTGCCCGAGCTGCAGGAGCACCAGGGGGGAACAGTAAACACCTTCCCTGCCTAGAACACATGGAAGATCTGTGTTTGGAATGAAGCAGCTGCAGTCAGGAGCAGAGCAGCACAGAGCCCACGCTGCAGGGAACAGTTCCCTGTCAGGCTTTCACTACAGACAGGCTGAGAACCCTTTGCTGTGCTCACACACGTCAAAGAATCCCATCTTGGATCACCCTGTAATAAGAACAACTGGCCTGCCCTAAACCCATCTAGGAGTCCTTCAGCAGCTCCTCCTGCACTCAGTACCTGCAGCTGTTGGAGCACACAGAGACCCCTCAGCCCAGCCCTCGCCCTCTCCCACCTGGAGGGTGCCTGTGGAGTGTGTGGTGCAGGGGGGATGCTCTGACATGGGCTGGACACAAGTTATGCTCTGTGGGGTTTTAGTGTTGTAAGTCTGACCTCAGTCAGACCTGGCTTCTCCCAAGCCCAGCTGCAGAGCAGATTAAATCCCAGCCCCCGGCAGTTGGGCTGGGTGGTGAGTTAAGCCCTGGAACAGGGACTGCCCAGACAGGAACCAACAGCAGGGGAGCAGCTGCACACAGAGCACACATTGCTCTGCACACAGAGCATTTAGTGCTGAGTTTGGAGTTGGGGCCATCTCCAGGTCAGCGTAACAGCTCAGGACAGCCACTGAGGATGTGCTGCCCTCTGAAGTTGGGCACTTTTACCTGGACAGGAAACTGGAGTGTGACTTCATTCAAAACTTGTCTGAGGGAAAGCTCCAATTCCTTTCCAGCAGCTGCCTGCTGCTCTTGGAGGAGGGGAGTCCCCAGTAAGAAGGAAACAATCCAAGAGTTGGGATTCCTCCCTGTGAGCAATTTGTACTCCATTAACACTGCAGAACTCAGGGCAAAACACAAGGCACGCTCACCTCATCCAGGACTCTTCATGCTTTAGGCACTCTAAGCACGAGGGAAATGCACACTCAGTGCCCCTCCCGAGGCCGCTCCAGTTTCTCCCTGGGCCAGGTGGCTTCCCAGGGGCTCCTCCTCAGGGTGCCGATGCCAGCGGCACGGACGGGACACAGCACAGCTCGAGCTGCCACCGAGGGGGTCCGGCTGTCGTGTCCCTCTTGAAAAAAAAATTCTCACAGAAATGAAAAAGCAAACAACCAATAGTGTTAACAACCAGGGTGGAAGAGTCTTTGCCCTGTACTAGGTGCTGGACACTGCAAACAAACTTCTAACAACGGCACGGGTCCTTTTTTGGTTTCAAGAAGCTTGTGTTACTGTAGTTAATGCGAGAACAAGACTGTGGACTTGTTATTCAGCACAGAACAAGTCATCTAGGAGCTTCCACGTCCCAGGGTGGCAGCAACTGTTACTACAAAGCTCGGGCTCCGTTTGCAGCAAACAGTCCCCAAGGGAACAGCGAGGGATCCCTTCGGGAGGGTCTGGAACCACCCCGAGGTGTGCGAGGTGAAACCAGTGAGGAGCTGCCGCGGTGCTTTACGGGAGCTTCTGGGCACGGCTCTGTGGGATCCACTGCAGCAAACAGGACACTCAGGGCTTCAGTCACAGGTGCTGCAGGGCTTCCTGGCCTTGTTCCATGTAGGAGTCGTCCCTACTCGAATTTGACCATTCCCCAAAAGTCCCCTGGAAGTGGACGTTTCTCTGCGCCGCCTGCAAACGTTTCTTATCGCGGGAGAAGAAGCTAAACCTGCCGGGAGGGGAGAGAAAAGAAAGGAGAGCGGTTACCACCCTGAAAACACTTCCAACACCCTCCCCCCCAATACACAACAAAACACAGAGCAAAAAAATCTGTCCCATCTGCAAAAAGTCAAGGCAGAGCAGCCCCCGGAGCGCGGTCAGGATGTTGTTAGGGATGGAGTCACGGCAGTCTCGAGCAGTTTGGCTGAGGAAGCTTCAGATAAGCTGTAAATGCTGTTGACTTTACAAGGTGCAGGTACCACTCAGGTGTTCATCCCCCCTCCCCAGCCCTCAGGTAAGGAAGCAACACGATACAGGTTAGTTCCTGGGCATGAGTAAAGTGGTATCTTTGCATTAAATCCGGATATTTGTGGATAGGAAATTGTTTTTGAAGGGTGTCAAAGGATCTCATTCGTAAGATAAGAAAAATAAGTCCCCACATTTTTTTTCCCAGTGTTCAGATTTTGATTCACAGACTTGATTTCCTGCAAAACTAAAGGAATAAAGGCACCACTGTGCACGGGGGGTTTGCAGGATGAAGGCTGAAGAAATGCACCTGAGCGTGCACGTCATTCCCTGTCCCACGGCCTGGTGCTCGCAGAGAAGGACGCACAGGAACCAACAGCCACTTCGGCCACCAGCAAACTGCCAGCCACAAACACGGGTGGGAAAATCCTTAGGATTGTTTTATTTGTGTGGGATGAAGTTACTGGATTAGGCAAAGTCAGTGTTTGCTGTGAGTTCAGCACGAGGGGTGTTAGTGCAGGGTTTGGGTCTGCTGAGAAATGCAAAAGTTGGGGTTCCAGCTCCCAAAGGACTGACAGGGGCAAAGATTGTACCAAGTGTCACACAGCTGGGATCCAGGCCAGGAACTCGTAAATGCTCCCACAGGAAGGGACTGTGCAAATACAAACTCAGCTTTGGCAGGTGGCGGAATATTGGGTGGGGCATAAACCTGAGCCTGAGTCCACGCCCCCCCATCCTCAGTGTCCTCCCTCCCTCCTCCCACACTCCCTTCCATCCCTCCCAGCACCACCATCCCAACCATCCCCACGATCCCAACCGTCCCAGCTGCCTCGTGCAGCCCAGGGAATTCTGCCTTCCATGTCTGCAGTCACACAGGAGGCTGGAATTGTGGCAGAGGAGGTTTAAGGCAGCTCTCCTGGAAAAGCATCCCATCAGATATGCAGATGGGCACAATGATAATTACTGAGAATATTGAGAATAATTATTTGCTGACTAGAAAGTGATACAGAACACCACACGAGTGCAATGCCAGGCAATTGATGTTGCCAGCAGGAGCTGAACTTTTGCATTTCCTGGCTTCAAATGTGCAGCCTTAATGGTGAAGGAAGTCTGTGGCACTTCATTAACCTCATACTCTCCTACCACCTCCATCCCAGGAGCCCCTGAATTCACACCCCTAGGGAATGTATTTTCAGGGCCAGAGCCACTTCCAGCTGATAAAAGAAGCTTTTAGTGACCAAGGCTTTGTGCTGAGCACTGCGCTCCTGCCTGGGAGCAGGAGCTGTCTGGGAGGCCACACAAAGGACTGCTGTGTTTATGCAGCAAGTTTTAAATGGCAAAGTTCAGTAATTTTTCACTTTATCATGAAAATAAGGCAAGAGAAAAATATGTTTGTAAGATCCCTAAAGGGTTCAGCTTTTAAAATTCCTCCTGAAACAATGCCAATTGTGTTTATGCCTAGAAAATTCTCCTGGAGGATGTTTGGGGAAAGCCTGTCTGTGTGGAGAGGAAGGGAATTGAAATACTGGGGTGCTGCTGTAAATATAAAGTCACTAAAGCAGCAGTTCTAAGGCAAAGAGACTGCACTGACAATTCTCAGTACATCTTGCAGGGAGAGCCAAGAATTGGATGACAGAATGGTTTATGGAGTGTACACTGTTCCAAAATACATCATTAGAGAAAAAATATACAGGGCATAGATAGAAAGCCATGGAAGCAACAGCCTGTAATTAAAATTAACACTGGGAATTAATGTAGAAATCAGCCACTCCATTCTGTAACTCCAACTAACTGGAACAAATCATCAGCAGTGAGTTTCTCAAAAGGCACTGGTGAGCACTGGGATAGCCACGCTTAGGAAGCAGAATTAACAGATGCTGGTTAAAACTGCAGGTTGCACCAGTTTTCCAAGGAATACTGATGGGTTTAGCATGGCAACATTAAGGCAAAAGGGGATAAAAGGTCAATACTGAGGATGAGTTGGGGACTGTGATGAGTGGAGGACTGACTGGTCGTTCTGATGGATCCTGGGGGATCCCACAGGCACCAGGAGAATGCAACCAGCAGGGAGTGTTAACAGGGGGTCATGCAGGGGGAAACCACAGTACCAAACGTTTTTAAACAAAAAAATTCCTACAAGGGACACAAGTCTTCTGATGGGCTGCAATGTGGGATCGTCTGGAATCAACCCAGCTGCTACCATGGGCATTATGGCTGTAAAGATCCTGGGCAGGAAAGGACAGACACAGGAGAGGTGAGACTGGAGCGAGGGAAAGAAAAGCATTCCATGAAAAAAGAGAAGGCAAACACGATACACAGGGTTACTTGGAATTCCAACAGCAGGGACACGGGACGGGGAGAGGCGGATCTGCATCACCCAGGACAGCTCTTCCTGGGGGAAAACTCTGCTTTAGAGAACAGTTCCAATTGCTTTGGGATGTCTAAAAGATACCACTTTTCCTGGTGTGAGGCAGCTGCCACCTGGCTTGGATTCCATCAGGGTGTCCCCACCCCCAGCAGTGCAGAGCAGAGGGAATGTTCACTTCCCAAGAGACAAACAGGCACAGGCACAGTGAAATGGAGGATGAAGAGGGATGGTAAGGAATACAAAACTCTGCTGTGACTACTGGGTGTTCACAGGAAAACGGGGTTACAGAGGACCAGCGTCACAGTTCAATTTACAGAAATGAGAGTCGAGAGTTTCAAGTTCAAAGCCAGCACTGCAGGTGACATGTTGAAAGAACCCCCTGAGAAAGCCGAGGGTTAAAGGGCCTGTGTGTCTATTCCAAAGGAACCTGATGGTTTCACATGCAGGGAGATGCCAACTGCAGGCACTGAGTGCTGAAGGGACACCCTGCAACCGCCCTGCCAGGGACACTGTGGAGTTGCTCCCAGCAGGACTGGCTCTTGGTGAGGCTTCAGCACTTCCTGAGCATTAGACAATCCATGCAGCTGAGAGAGCTGAGAGCTCTGTGCCCAGACACCCCCCTGCCAGCACCCCTGCACCGTACCTGCAACACCCTCTGCTCCCCTAAGGATTCTCCTCACAGCTTCTCCCTCGGGCCAAATAATTTTTTGAACTGTGGACTAATGTCAATTAAAGATTAGGTTGAGATCACGAGAGGCGTTTCACCTGTGACCAACAGCAGCTCTCCCCAACAATCCCTAACTCCTGTTCTGAGTTAAACCCAAAAACAAACAAGCAAACACTGCTGGATCGTGGGCAGCAGCCAGGATTGCTGTTTTTATGCCATGTGGCACATCCTGAGCTGCACAGCTCACACACACACACACACACACACACACACATCAGCTTTTGTAGAGTGGGAGAACACTCCTGGCTGTTTGAGGCATGACATCAGAGACAGACAAGCACGTAGCCTTCAGGAGAGAACAAAAGGGCGTTTTCTGCTCCAAACAGAGGGAGCGTTTTTAATCCTTGGACTTTTCCTCCTCGCTAAAGCCTCCTGGTTACATTATTTCATTAAAACTCTCATGTGATGGGGGAGAGACAAATGTAGAAGTCAGTCAGGCTGAGATCAGAACTCAAACGAGCCAACCCAGGAAAAACTGCTGATTTCTGTAACTTGTGCTTCCCTTTCTTTATGGAGAATCACCTGAGCACATCCTGGAGGGCACAGGCTACAATTTACACGTGGCTCATTCCCTCAGACACTGTGTGGGGAAGGGAAAAAGGGCAAGGCTAAAACTTCCCCTGAGGGGACCAACAGGGCCTCCTGTTTTTGTACTTCAGCTTAAATGAGGAAGAAAAGTCTGAAATGGAAGGGAAAAGAAAAACAAAACACTTTGCTGTGGGAAGGCTCTCTGCACAAAGACAGCAGCACTTCAAGTTTTCACCCCACCTTTAGGCACAGAGGGTTTCTGTGCCACTGTCTTTGTTCCCCAGGAATCCAGAGGTATCCTGGGGGGAGAGAGAGAAGGAGCTCTGGAGACACCTCAGAGCAGGCAGGGACTGCAGGGACAGACAGGACAGGACAGGACAGAGGCTACACTTGTGTTCTTTGCTTTTCCCAGCAGTGACATTTCCTGTCCTTTTAAAGCCCATCTACAAGGACACTGATGACAACACAGAGAGGGGAGGGGGGAGAAAATAAACCCACACCAGACAAATCCTGTCCAGACAGGCTGCAAGAATAAGACAAACCTGAAAACTACTACACCCTTCAGATTACTCAGGCAGACAGTTTTCTCTTATTTAATCTGATGGCTACAGGGAGAGAGAGCAGAGAGAAACCTGGGACAGAGCAGGACAGCTCAAGGAAGTCATTTCGGCTCAGGCAGAGTCAAAGCTAATTCCTCCCCAAGGTGGGCTCTGTCTCTCAGCCTCTGTTTACATTTTTATGCTGCCTTTGCTTCATCAAACACAAACTGCATGAGCTGAAACCAACCATTCCCCACGAGAGGGTAAGCTTTAAAAAGTACTAAAATAAATGTAAAAGAGAAGCTTTACAGTGGAGATCTTGTGTCACAAAGTTGCTATTTTTATACAATCCCAGTTGCAGGATGAACACTGAGGTCCGAACTCGAAGTGTATTTTCTAGTCATGTGAGAGGAAGAGTTCTCTGAGCACAGGCAGAGTTAATAATAATAATGAAAATAATCAGCAGTGCCCTCCTGACTTCACGGTGTTTTGGGTCAGTCCAGATCTTCCAATGGAATTTATTCTCACAGGGCTGCTGGAGTCACTAAACAAGGACTGGGGACAGGATGGAATCCTGGATTCTTCTGTGGAACCAACTGCCTGTTCCAAACCCATCTGTGCTGTTAAAAAGCACAAAAATCCAAAGAGGTGTTTGCTGTAGGGTTGGGAGACTTAATCTGGGGTAAATAAATGTACAGGAGAGAGTTTCCATGGACAGATGGACTGGCTAAGCCTGTGATTTTCTAATGAAGTGGGAACTGCCCAGCCCTGGCAGGGAGCTTTGGTTTCACAAAACACCTCAGAGGAAGGTGGGGTTCTTTTACACCTCCCCTCCAGCAGAGAATTTGCTCAGCAAACAGAAGGTTTTTGTGCTGTTCCCACAGGGTCTAAAGGCTTTGATCAACAGGGAAATGGGCACAGTGAGCTCGTGGGGAAATATAATCCCAGACTGAAAGTTGTCCCAGATCTAGGCATGAGTTTTGGCCAAAGCCAAGTGCTCCTTCAGTGTCTCTCCCACAGACAGTAGGAATGTGGTTATCTTAATTTTAAAAGTCTTTAAAACTGTCCTACCCATAAGAAACATTTAGTATTTGCAGACTATACCAAATATTCATAGAAAATATGCTACTTACAGTCGTTTGATTCCAGATTCAGGTTGAGTTGAGGGTTTTGGCTGAATTATGGGGGGAGGTTGAGGGGGTCTGGTTTCTTCTTCCATTTCCTCACTTGAAAGAAAGGAAAGATAATTAATGTTCTCCTTCCAAGCCACTTTAAGGTCTACAATTCAATCTGAGCTGGCACTGGAGATGAAGGAATGCAAAAGGATCTGTTCCAAACTCATTCAAATCAACTGAAGATTTTTCTCCTCAGAAAGGAACAGCCCCAAGAACTGGCTCTCTGTTCAATATTTTCTTCCCATTGTGACAAAGAGAGGGAGAAGAGGAATGGATTGAATAAATCATCTAGAATTTTCATTTGAGACCCACTCTTACCCTCACATTTAAAGTTCAAAAGGATGAAATGTTTGTAATCTTTCCAAGATTTGAGGGAAAACCTGGGACGCAGGGAAGGAACGTGGTTTTACCCAAATTTGAGGTTCAAACCAAAGCCATATCCCTGCAACCTCTACTTAAACCTTTGCAGAAACAAGAGCTTGTTGGCTCCCCTCTGTATTTCATGCAACAGGAGAGGGGATCTGACCCACCTTTTGTAATACAGAAGCTCCTCTTGAAGTAAAAACACCCTGGATTTCAGCTCGTTCCTCTCGTGAAGGACGTCCCGCAGCTCCTGCAAGGTGAACCTCGGCCGATTGGGATCTTTCAAGTCCAGTGCCATCTTTTCTGACTCTGACAGACACTCATCATTGTTTGGTTCTGCCTGGGGGGGGTGAAACACGAGCTTTAAATTCATCCTGTGAGTGCAGGTTGGAGGAGTCTGAGGTGTTTATGTGGAATTTGTTTTTCATGTTAAAGGCTTTCAGAAGAACAGCCCAGGGATCTGATCCCTTGGTGGTTTCCTGTGCACGTGTCCAGACCTGGACACAGAGTCCAACCAGAGGGGATAAAGGTTTTTTGTGGAGAAATTCCTGCCACAAAGCCCACTGGAAATGTCCAATTTTTGATAAACGAGCCAGTTGAAAGAATTCATTCTTTTAACAAATGGGGTAAATCAAACATCAGCCTTTTACATAAACACTGAAAAAAGCAACACAGCAAAGGTCACGCAGTTCCTTCCAGCTCCTCCCTCAAATAGATGGCTCCTTGGGATGCAAACGCATCATGTGGAGGGTTAAGTTTATATCCCTCTAATGCCTTCATGCAGAAAGCAGGAACGGTGTTAGCACCAGATCTGGCTACAGAGTGGAAGAAAACTGCAGATGAGGGGGTCACACACCCGTCCCCTTCTCTCTCCTTGTCCTCTAAGAAGAGTTCACTGGGAGCTTGGAGGAATTTCATCTCCTACCACTGAGTTTCTGGGGCTCCCAACAAGCCAGACCTTGCTCTGTAGGCTCATGTCTGCATTCCCAGGCCGGGGGGGGTGTTTCCTGGCCCCTCTAGCACTTGCCCAGAACTCTGAGGTGCAAACTGCTTGTGAAAACGTGGATTTCTAACAGTGCAGATAAATGCAGGACACTCTGTGCCATAGAAGTGCATCTGAAATGTAGCAAAGCCCATCTGGAATGGGCTGCTTTTTGCAAGGACTGATAGAGGCCAGCACAGCAAATCAGAGCTGCCAGCTCAGCCACCAGCAATCCTTGCAGGATGCAGAGATCGGAGTCTCTGAGCCCCTGTGTGGGATGCAAGGTGGAAATTTGAGGAGCTAAGGACTGAAATTCCTAACCAGTCCATTTTTTTTAAGCCTGATCCTACCCTCTTTTCAGGTTGTGTTTGTGGAACAGTTTTGCCATCTACTGATAGGTGGTTTCAGGTTGGTGCAGTGGGAATTCCCAGAGCAGGGATGAGGCACTGGAGTGATGCTCACCTGGGCACTGTTTGACCACCCCTCCATCCAAGCACATTCCTTTGCACAGACTACAGGGAATAAAGATTGATGCAACCCAACAAGAGCTTTTCCTCCTCTTCACCCCCCATTTTATGGTCTGAGCTGATGTGTCTTGTTTTGGTTGTACATTTGCCCCACACCATCACCCAAAGCAGCTATTTTTGCTGGATTTTGCTCCAATCAGCAGGGACTGAGCAGCCTGCAGCCAAATGTCCTTGACTGAAGCCAACAAGCAATGTCCCTTCAGGAACATGCAGCTATTCCAGCTTTCTGCTTGCCACTGCAATTCCTGTCTGAGCTCTGTCCTGGCAGAGGGAGCGGGAACGGCTCTCATTAGAAGAGTTGCCATTGCCACGGAACTGATGAGTTGGGGAGAGGTGAAGAATGAATCCTTTCTCTGCAGACACTGAGGACACTTTCACTCCTGCTGGCGCCAGGCCTGGGCTCCCCAGCCCCATTTACAAAGCTGGGTGTCCTGGCTGAATTAACAGCAGTGAAATAACCCTTTTCATCACTAATACAGTGCTTGCCCAATTCAGTGACATGTTAACACAACACTGGCTCTCACAGTCCAGGGGGGACCAAGGTACCCCCCGGCCTCTGCTTCCTGATGCACATTCTGCCCACTGCCAGTGAAGTGGGTGTTTCACACTCTCTTTTGAGGCAATGATTTGTTCTGATAGCTGGCAAATTCTGTGCTCTGGTGTGTGACCCGAAGGGTGTAGGATGAGCAGCCACATCTAAGTGCAGAGCTGTGCCCTCACTGCTGCCTTGTGCTGCCACTCTGCCTTCTGCAGGGCTGGTTCCCCCCTTCAGGAAAGAGGGGTTTGTTCCACTGGATCATCATCCACACTAACAGGGTCCTTCCTGCCCAGTGCAGTGAGTGACATCACTCCTGTCACACCTGAACACAAAGTGCTGTCCTCAAGTCCCACCGTTGCCCCTGGTGCGCATCAATCCCATTTACCTTTATCCAAAGGGGTACTCGGTATGGAGACCAAATCCTTTTAAAAAACCCAGTTTAAAAGTGATTTAAAGTGCCTCTTACCTTCCCTTCCTCCCCGTTGTGGCTCTCCTGGCTGTCCTCACCCTGCAGTTTCTCTCGGAGCTTGCCCAGCTCTGCCCTCAGGGTGCCCATCTCCTGCTCCTTGGTTTGCAGATACGCTTCCAGCTCCACCTTCTGCTCGATCAGGGCCTTCCCCTGCGCCTCCACCACCGTGATCCGGTGCCTCAGGTCGTGGTTAATCTTCATTAACCTGTTCTGCTGCTGCTGAAGCTGCAAAACATCAGTGCAAGAGGTCATCAGCCATCAGCCATGGTGACCCAGTCCCAAACATCGTGTTAGAGAAAGAGGGGGTTGGATTTAATCTGGAAAATTCTCCTCAGATTAGTTTGGTAATATCTAATGACCTGCTACAGTTTCAGTCACCCAAATTTAATTGGTTTCTAGAGGAAAGAGGCATTTTTTCCCCAGGACAGGGAATTCTCCAGCCAAAAGCACATCCATCGCTTCTTATAACTTCAAGAAAAGCCAGGTTGAAGGATAAGGGTGTCTTATGGAATTCTGGATGAAATCTTAACCCTGAGTAGAAGAGACACAAGGCAGAGGAATCCTCAGTGTTCAGTTTACAGGTCCCTTGCTTTGAGCTCTGGGGCTCTCCCAGGACAGGATGTGACTGCTGGGTGTGTGTGGACAGCCCCAATCCCAAGGGCTGCAGCACCTGCAGGAGGCACCTGGGCAGAGCAGAGACCACCCAGGCCTGGCCCTCACCAGGGCAGAAGAGCCCCATGGCCTAAGGAGAGGAGGCAGCGTGAGGATGGGAAGCAAAATTTGGGTAAGGAGGTCATTGCTTCTGACACAGAAAGTGCCAAGATGTGATGAGATCCCAGAGCCACTTCTGAGATTCATCTGAGACTGAACCTGCAACAGAAGTCACTGCTGGCAGAAGTGCCCTGGGCTGAGCTCAGGCCTTTTCCTCCCAGCCCCTTCCCACGCAGAGGGAACCCCCACAGCATCCCTGCAGTGGGAATGTGTGTGTGGGGAACCCCACAGCATCCCTGCAGTGGGAATGTCTGTGTAGATAACCCCCACAGCATCCCTGCAGTGGCAATGTGTGTGTGTGCAGTCCCTGCTGCCACCTCTGCACACAGAATGTGCACAATGCACAGCAGCCCCCTCAGGCAGAGCAGGCATCTCTGGCAGACTGAGACTCTGGCATGGCTTCCACTTCTACACTAACCTCAAATTTAAAAGCAGGCTGTGGAAGATGGGTGAGAAAGAAGAGAAATAGGAAGGCCAAGAGCCACTTACAGCCTCTACATCCTCATTTTTAAGTCCGAGTTCCCGGTCCTTTGCTCTGATTTCATCCCTCTGTTTATCAACCACTTCCTTCAGCTTCTTCATGACTTGCCGCTCTCTCTCTGACATCCCTGGTTAAAAAACCAACACAAATCAAACCAAGGACATTGAGGAGCTGCTGAGGCTGAGAACAATAGCAGTGTTCAACAGTAGGACAGTATTTAGGTAAAGACTCTGGAAGTTGCCTGCTGGTAAAATTACAGAGCTGGTGGAAGATGCTTTAAAGGTTACACAGATAACACAATCCACTCCAGAAAGCCACTGCACAGAAACTCCTTAAAAAAGGAACTGGCAGTCCTCAGAAACATTTGTAACAGTGCAGTGCCACTGCTGCACATTGCTGCCTCAGGAGTTTTACATCAATGTTCACACTGTGCCCCAGGGAGCTCAGTTATCTGTGTGAAAATCTGTGCAATCAGCTGGCCAAGGCCCTGTGAAAATTGTAAAGAAGACGGTCTGGATCCTCAGCAAGATGTAAACAACAGTCACTGTGGTGGATACTGTCTGGATCTAAATCAGCTGAGGAGCACTGGACTAGAAGGATTTTTTTGCTGAAACCCAGTTTTGTGTTGGGTGAAATCAGGACCTTCAGGGGGCACTGAATCCAGAACAGAATATCAATCTGAATTATGCTCACATATTTTATCCTCATGTTTTGCCCCCATCCTATTGTGTAATGATTCATATTTTAAAATAACTGTACTTGAGAGAAAAATCCTCCATGGGATTTCAGGGGTGAAAGATGTTCTGAACGTTGCCAAGAATCCAACACTGATCCTGTCTGAAAACAAAGGAAGGGTTACATTAACCTGGAAAAAAACCAGGAATCATCCTTCCATGTGCCATTATGGAGATAACTGGATGTGGCACTGCAGTGATGGGCTCCTGGGGCAGACACAGAGCAGAGGATTTAATCTGGTGAGATGATGAATCCCCTGCTCTGGCCTTCCCTGACAGTGGCACAGAGACAGGTCTGACAGTCCGAAATTATCCCATAAAATCACCCTGCACAACATCCTTGGCAGATGAAACCCAGGGCAGTGTCTGCCTGCTCTGGCCAAAGGCCAGCCCAGGCAGGAGCTCAAATCCAGGGGCTGCTGCTACTTCTGTTACCTTTGGCAAAGTGTTTTATTATGCAGGTCCTCATCTTCTTCCATTTACGAACTGTGGGTGGTGATAATTCACTCCCCACTCCGGGGTGGCTGGAAAGCCTCTTCCTTTTTAATATATTAAAGCAGTTCCCACCTCAGAAATATGCTCTTTCTGCATCAAATGCATGCAACCAGGCAGGTCTAACTTTCTAACAGCAGCTCAGACTTTCTGGTTTTGTTCTTCCCTCATCAGAGGAATCCAGAGTTGCTCCATGAGAGAATTTGGCTGCATTCCTGGAGGAACTCCATCTCCCAGCTCAGCTACAGTGGGATCTGCTGGATAACACAGCAGGGCAGGACACAGCTCAGAGAGGCAGTAACTGGTGGGTGTGCTCTCCTCAGCAGCTCTGGGCTCCCTGTGTACCAGGAAAACAGGGATCCAGCAGCTCTGATCCCTCACTGTGGAACTGCACACAACAGGGAACTGCCCTGCTGGGAAAGGGACTGGTGCTCGTGGCTGGCTGGGAATTTGGTTCACAGGGCATGTTCCTGTCAAACCCCAGACAAGGAGTGCCAGTGCCATGGTGTTCTGTTTCTAGTGTTACACTCTCCTCTCTTTTAATTCTGGGGTACATTTGCCTGCTCTATTTCTGGACCCTGCTCCTTGTCAGCCCTGTGCTCTGGGTGTTAGCTCTTTGAGGGGTAATTTGGATTCTCTGCTGTGGTACCAGCTCACACCCACCAGGGAGGACTCCAATGGGAGGGGAAAGGAAAGGTGGGAAGCGTTTGTGAAACAGTCACATCTCCTTCCATTTCCTCAAGCGCTGGGAAGGAGGAGAGGGAAATCACTAAGTGCCCTAAATGTAAAATAATTATCTCTAAATGATTCAAACTCTAATAACTGCAAGATCTTAAATGGCACACCCAGCCAGCTTCCCCAGGCACATCCTATGAGCAGCTTCCTGTGGATTGCTGGGATCCCAGCATTGTTCCAGCAGGAGAAAGGAAAGCAGCCAGGAGGGGAACACCAAGGGAAAAAAGAAAAGAAACTGGGGAAAAAACCCCAAACCAAACGAAAAACAAACAAAACCCTCCGTCCTTTACGCTTAGGGATCTGTTAATGTTGTGTTCACACATCTCACTAAAGCCAAAGTGCCAGGCAGGGCCTGGGGCACTGCACCACCACCTGAACACCTGGAACAAGTTCAACTCCACTTTGGAAGGGCACTGGAGGTTCTGCAGCACAGGAGGGTCACACAAGTGCTGCCTGTCCCCTGCCACAGGCAGACTGAGCCAGCAGCTCCCTGCTGCACTGACACAGCCTGCTCGGCCTGTTTGACACACTTGGATCAGCTTTGCTCGTGGCATTTTCCTGGGATATTCCACTCAGTCAGCACCGGCAGGCTCAGCCTGAGCTCGGGAGGAGTCGCCTTAATGGGTGGTACAGACTCATCTTCAACCCCTCCTGTGTGGTTTGTGTTGTTCCTTCCACAGGAACCCTGCTCTGCTCACACTGTTTGGATCCTGCACACCCAAATCAGCGGCCTCTTGTTGGCTGTGCCAAAAAAATGCATGGTGAGTAAGGAGGAGCTGCTGCTCCCTGGGGCCAGTGCTGAGGGGAGACACAACACTGAACTGGGGTGGGAGCACTGCAGTCTGGGCAGAGCCAGCCCAGCTGACACAGCTTGCAGCTTGAAAACCTCTCTGGACTCCCCAAGCATCACATCCCAGGGTGGACACTGCCAAAGAGCAGCAGCTCTGCTTGCTGACACTCCCCAAACAAGTCACTGGAGACAAATCTATCCCTGCTCATCAATGACGACATTTCCTAAGAGCAAAACAGACCCCAGTTATAAGATCAGGCTGATATAAATTAACCTGATTTGACTAAAACTGAGGATTTTGGTTGAAGAATATCAGCAGTCCCAGAATCTGAAGTTTGGAACGGGCTCATGGGTTTTGTTTGTGTTGTTCTACTCGGGGCAGACACAGTAAAAATAACATGAAAAGCACGTCTGGCATCTGCTTGGCTGGCTGGATGTGAGGAGTGTGGCTATATTTAAATGCAAGCACATGAGCTGCAGTGAGCTAGATGGCCCCTGGAAGGGAAAAAGAAGAAGAAAAAAAAAATAAAAGAAAACAAAGGGGAAGCTGGTTCTTTCTAACAAGATGTCAGTCTCCACGGCCCATGACTCACTGCTGCCATTCTGAATTTTAAATGGCACTTTAAAAGCCTGACGTGGAGCTGCTCGTTTGCCACTCGCTGACTCCTAAACTGGAAGTGCTGCATTTGGTTTTCCCAAGTGGTCCTCTGGGGAGGTTCCCCGGTTTTTGCTTTGTGAAGGTTTCCTCCTGCTCTCCCCAGGGCAGGTGAGCAGTGCAGTGCTCAGCCTTGGGGTGACAGCAAGTGCCACTTGCACTCTGTGGGACAGTTTCCTCCTCCCACAGCAAACCTGCACTTAATCCCAGCCTTGGGTGCCTGGAAAGGGATATCCCTTTGTTCTTGGAGCTTTCCTGGGGAGCTGCAGGGGCTCAGCTGGCTGCTCTGTGTTCAGACTGGCTGTCCCTTTGCACTCAGGACATCATGGAATGCACTCGGGATCTCAAATTCTGTGCTGGGAACAGCGGAGCAAACGGGAATCTGTTCCTCTGCTCCTGGGAAAGAGCTGCTGGCTGAGCTGTGGGTGGGACAGAGCCTGGGAATTGTTTCAGTTGCTGCACTTGCAGGCGTGTGTTTTGTACCTCCTTCTGCTGCAAGGAACTTTCCCACCAAGGGGTTGTTTCAGCTCTCCAGGATTCACCCACTCCCTGGACTATAAAATCTCCTCACTTATTTTAATTGGCTGTAAGTCCCCAAAAAGTGAGGGAAATCTAAAAGCAGGTAAACCAAGTAAAACCAGCGTCTCCTCTCCTATCAGAATACAGTGATTTCTCCTGGAATATCCCCATGCAGGGACTGAGGCAGTTCAGACACAGAAATCTTGATGTGCTGCTTTACCAACAGTTCTCCTGAACAGATCAACAGCTGCACTTGTTTCTGTGCATGGTGGTGTGAAATAACCACACTGAATGGATTATTCTGTTTGTATTAAAAAAACATAAGCAGGGCTTAAAAGTGTTTTTTTTTTGCAAAATGAGAACTAAAAAGTGACAGACCAAAAAGTGTATCTAGAGTTTACTTGCAGAGATGCTTCTCAGACAAACAAAAAGTTGTTCAGGCTTTTCTTTCCCTCCTACCTTCACCTCTTACTTATTATGTCTTCATGTATTCTGAGATTTTTCTATTCAGGAAAAAAAACCAAATAAACAAACAAACAAGACTCCAAACCCCAGACCTGAATTAATCTACAGGGAAAAAAAAACACACTAGAGCATCCAGTCAAAATATTTTGATAAGGTATAGCTTTTTATAACAAAGCCAGTATTGAATTTGAAGTGTCAAACTTGCCTTCATGCTTCTGAAACTCCTCTTCTGTGAAATTAATGTCTTTGTGAGACAAGTTTGTCATCAGTTGTTTATTCTCCTCCTGCAGCTGTGCAATTTGGGTGAGAAGGTCCTGTGCTTCCCCTCTCCAGACATCCTCCACCAGCTCTAATTCCTAGAGGGGAGACCAGGACAACACATTCACATTTTAAAACATGGTAAGAGTCTTTGACTGGACTATTTACAGTAATGATCCTATTATGGAAACCAACCAAATGAGGCTACTTTGAGTTTCTTAGAAGGTATCTGCTTTCCTAATGCCACCATGAGGAACCCAACCATCCTAGTCCCCTTTTGGGATGTGCTGGATGTAAAGACACGAGGAGATCATTCCCGGTGTTGACATTTGTGCAAGTTCAAAGGATGGTCCCTATGCTCTGTTCGGCTGTGAGGACCAGATTAAGGGGGCTGCTGTGTTAGACAACCAAACACCAGCAAACAATCCCCTCCTGCCCCCCAGGAAGCAGATGCAAAGCTGTTCCAGATGCCCCCAAGCCACCCCAGAGCGAGGATCAGGCAGTCAGGGTCAGATGTGCTCGTTGTGACCCAGCAGCGTCTCTGCTCTGAGTTTCTGTCATGAAACACAAGTGAAAATCAACGTGTGGGAGCCGCTGCAGCAGGGCCAGAGCTCCTGGTGCAGGTGGTAAACACAAGCCCAAACCATGGGGCTTCCCACGCAAACGGTTCCCTCTGGAATGTCTGAGTGGCATCTGTGGCAGCGGCAGCGGGGCCGGGCAAAGCAGCTCCCATTTGTGGGACACTCCGTGTCAAGAGCAGCTGTCACCAATCCTCACAGGGGTCAGATTAGGACAGAAAGTATAAAGGAGTCCTCAAGGAAAATTTAGAGCTTTGCTTGTTCCAAAAGCTTCTCTGTGTGTCAGGCTCCTGCAGTGGGGGGCATTCCCCGCTCCGTGCTCACGTCTCTGCTCCAAACAGAAAGCTCCATGCGGATCCCTGGAGCCAGGCTGAGTCACTGCTGACTCTCACATCCATCCACAGGCCCCTTTCCTACCTAACAACAAAACACGTTCACACAACAACCCAGCCAAGCACAGCTCCAGGCTAAAATAAGCTCTGCCGAGAGATTAAAGGACAGCTCTGTGCTTTGAATGCCTGCTCTGATAATGGGAAGTTCCTGGTGACTTTTGGGTCCAAATGCCATTTTATCCTGGCATTTATTACTGTATTGCTGCTGAAACGTTTGCAGAAAACACTGCATGGCAAAGAGACAACGAGTTACATAAAGGTGTGGTAAGCTGTGCAGGTTTAACTATTAAAAAGGACAGAAAATGTCATTAATCACCACCTCTTTTACTTAAAACTATCTCGAGAGAAAGGCAAATCTGGAATGAAACTGATAGTGCCAAACACCTGCACTATTTACAGGGATGCTGCCTGTTACAACTCTGGAGCTAAAATAACGCAGTGACCTATTTTAGCAATAAACCAGCACATTCCTCAGCTCTGAGAACACAGATAGAGCCAAACCAGAACGCTCACAACCCCCCCCCAAACACCTCAGCTTGTATCATTTAGGTGTGGCTGCACTGTAAACACACAGCTATCCTAAGGCTTGCCCAGGCAAACTTTGTCATTTACTGCTCTTGCAGAGCCCGGTGAATTGGAGCGGAGATTAAACTTCTGGCTCCTCATTAGTGGAAGGACCAGCCAGAGAGGGCAGATCCACAGTTGTGCCAGCTCAGGGAACCCCAAGCAGGGGGTGCTGAGCCACGTTTACAGGCAAAACACATTTGCACTTAAAGTTTAAGTGCTGAAATCTCATAAACTGATGCTTACAAGGACCACTAAATCTTGTCTGGGTGGGGGGTTTTGGAGGCTTTTGGGTCAGAACTGTTTCTCAGTCTGAGTTTTTATGCTTATTAGCACCTGTCCTGTGAAAGACTCTTCAAACCCTCCCACTGGAACAGAAATGATGTGACACCACAGTTCTACAGGGACTTGGTGCACAAGGAATCAACTTGATTAAAAAAATACATGTGTGTATCTTGTACTTTTTTGTTGTTAAAATATGGGTCCAGCAAACTTCCATGTGGATTGTCTGAACCATCCCTGAGCCCCTTCAGGACTCGGAGAAGCTGCCAGAGCAGAGGTGTTTGACTGCAGGGGGATCAGCTGACACCTTTAGGAAACTTTTTAACACTTCAGAAACATCTACACAGAACAACTTGTACAATGACTCTGGGCCAGTTCAGTATCCACTTCGCTCTGCAGCATTTGGGAAATATCCAGCACACTTTATCTGTTCTCCAGACCTCCTTCCTTCATGCTCTGGAGGCTTATCAAGGCTTTGTACATTAAAGATCTTTCACCATCCTTTTCAGAGACATTGCCCTGAGAGTTCCTCTGCAAAATGCTGCAGGTATTATCCTGAATTTTCTATATGCTCAGTGAAAGTCCCCTAGATTGCTCATTTAAAAACATAAAACTTGAATTCATTTGAATTCAAGCCAAATCTTGAAGTTTGGGGTCTCTCTTCCAGAAACTCCCTGTCTCCTGTTTATTCTGATTCCGTGTGTGGGAGCAGGAATGGCACGAGGCAGCAGTGATGATTTAGCACAGTCACTGGAAGAACCATTCCTTTGAATCAGTTCTCCCGATGGTTTAAAGATTGGATCTGCCACTGCAGTGACTGGAGCGTGCTGTCCTGCCACAGGAGGGTAACAGGATATGGGAAATGATCTCTACCTTGGGTTCTCATCGGAATGGGGTCAGGGAACACCATGACCTCCCCCAGACAAGCCATCCGAGGATGGAGCAGGAATTTGGGAGAGTGCTCTTCCCTACTCTCCAGCTCTAACACTGCCCTGGAATCGCTTGGTCTTCCATCTCTCTCCTGGGACTTGCCTGCCTGATGTGCGTGCCAGGAAAACTGGAGTGCTAAATCATTCCCAGCTCCGGAGAGGAAAGTGTATTCTTGCCAGTGACCTTTCCTGGCCTAGCAGGAAGCAGCACTACCCTCTCGTCAGGAGAGGGGATGGAGCAGGAATCCTAATCGGGGAGACACAAGGGGAAGGAAATGCAGGGACTGGGGAAGGGGAGGAGAATGGGAAGGAGGGAGGAAACTTCCAGGAGGGAAGGAAACACAAAACAACAACACGCCCAAACCCTCAGCGACGCTAAAGCAGGATCGGCCCGCCCGGGCCGTGCCCCGCCCGCTCCCCCCGGCATCCCGGCTCCCTCTTTGTTTTCCCGGCGGCTGCGGGAGGTTTGGGCGGCTGGGGGGGCTCCCCCCGGCCCGGTTGCGTTCTGCGGGGGCATCGCTGCCCCCGCCGCGTCCCCGCCACCCCCGCCCGCACCTTCTGGTGCTTGCGCTCCTTCTCGATGCGGTCCATCCTCTCGAGGCGCAGGCGGTCGAGCTCCAGGCGCAGCTCCTCCATCTCGGGGTTGATGTGGTTGCGGCTCACGAGCACCTCCAGGATCTCCAGCACCCGCACCACCTTGGGCATGAGGCGGGCGATGGCCTCGCAGCCGTGCTGGTCGATGACCCGCTCGAACTCCTGCCCCACGGCCGAGGCGATGTCGTACACGTCCATGACCGTCAGCTCCGCCGCGTTCTTCTCCAGCGCGGGGGAGGCCCCGCCGCCGCCGCCGTCCATGGCTCCGCCGGCCCCGCGGCTCCCGCACAGGCGGCGGCGGGGGCGCTCCGGGCGGGGCGGGCCGGGCCGGGCCCCCCTGGCAGCCGCTCCCCGGCACGTCCCGCGAACTCCGGGGCGGCGCGGCCGGGGGTGTTTAAACTTGGCCGGGCGGCGCTGGGGGAGCGGCGGCGGGAGGCGGGCGCGGCGTCCCCGCCACCTCCGCCCCGCCGCCCGCGGCCAATGCCCGGCTCGGGGCGGGCCGGGGGCGGCCCCGCGCATGTCCCCGCTCCCCGCCGATGTCCCCGGTACCCGTCGATGTCCCCGGTGCCCGCCGCTCCCCCGCTGCGATGAGGAGCCGTGGAAGTCCCTGACCCGCGGGGCTTCGCTTTCCCCGGGGAGGGAAGCATCGCCAGGCAAGCAGCATCCTTGTGCCGAGCGGCTGCAGCGCCGGGAGGGCTCCTGGTACCGGGCAGGAGAACCGCGAGTTTTTTTGGGGGTGCAGAGCTCAAACCCGCCCGTGTTGGGGGGTCCCACACAAGTGCCCAGCGCTGGGGTGGGGTGCGGGAGGGTGTCCGTGGTGCCCAACAGCGAGCGCAGTGCCCCAGGTTGAGTGTCCCGGGATGGAAGTACAACCCAGTACCGGGATGGAAGGGGGAGGATGTTCCCCTGCTCCAGAAGAGGAATGAGGCGATGGATGGCTGCGGGCACGTGGAATGCTGTGAACAAACCTTTCTGCAGCGCAGCGAGGGGCTCGCACACAGCAGCTGCTCATCGTCAGGGAGGTTTAGCTGCTCATCGTCAGGGAGGTTTAGCTGCTCATCGTCAGGGAGGTTTAGCTGCTCATCGTCAGGGGGGTTTGGCTGCTCATCGTTACGTGTTTTAGGCCCCCGCTCTGCACAGTAAGAGAGTCTTTACTGTGCACGTGTCCAGAGGATCAGTAGAGGGTTTTATACATACAAGCAGTTTGCTGGCATGAATCCACTGGCAGATAATTTAAATTAAACCAAAATGTGGTTTTCTGGTCGAGTTTTTCAGTGTTTTTGCTTTCAGGTGTGACTGTGTACGTAGCATATACAAAATATCCTTGTGTGCTGCCAGGAGGCACCAGGGCAGCCAGGAGAGCAACACATCAGTCCCCAGATACCTGAGCTTGGCTTTCAACTGCCTAACTTACAGCAATAACCAGTGATATCCAGCGAAAGTATTTCCCTATATATCATTCATGAAACTCATTCCCAAAGTTGAGCAGCACAGGATATTGCACAAAGTTCCAGAGAGAGCAGGAGGATGAATAATGGTGGAGTCATCCTTTCCTGGCAGAGGTGCATCTGGAGTGTGAGGAGGGGGAGCAGCCTGAGCAGAACGTCTGGAGAAGGCTCTGCAGTGCCCCAGGGGAGCAGCTGTGCTGGAAAATCAGCATTTTGGCCAAGCCAGGGAGGAGAAAAAGAGTTTATGCCATGACAATTCAGCATTACATGAGTTCATTGTTATGTACAATGCACATAGAGGAGAAATGTAACAAAGTGGGGAATGTGAGAGTGGCAAGATTAAAACTGTTATTGAGACTGATGAAAAACCAGCACAGTTTGTGCTGTGGGAAGCAGTAGGTTGGATGTTGGCTTGATCTCTGAAAACAACTTGGCACGGAAAGTTTCTTATCCAGCCACATTCGTGACCTGCAGCTCCTCAGGTTCAGCTTCTCTTGCTGAAATCTTGCCCGCACCCTGTGCCTGCACGGACACAGCAGCTCACACCTGGCAGCTGGGGGGGAGAGCAAAGAGTAGTGACATAAATCCAGCACTTGGGTTCCATTTGTCAAGACAAACACTCCCGAGCATCACCAGGAGAACAAAAACCGCCGCTTGTTGGCCAACTCAACCCAGGCCAGACTGTGCTTTGGTTTTAACTCTTCTCCAGACCATTGAACAGCTACACAAGGAATGGGCTGCCTTAACTGCGTGAATTTCTGTATTTCTGGACGGAATTTTTAGATGGAAATTTGTATTTAAGCCATGCAAGGAAGGGCTTTTTACACAGTTACTCTGGTGTGAGGCAGGATCTGGACGTGTCCTGACTGTGTTTCCCTGTGAATGAACAGCCCACCAGTCGGGCATCCCTGTCAGCTCTTTAAACCTTGGCTGCTCCCAAAACCTCTCCCCGGCTGCAGCAGGTTTGGGCTTCCCGGGCTGCAGAAGCAGCAGCCTCAGCAGGGCTGCAGTGACAGTGGTGGTGACAGTGGTGGTGACAGCCGCCTTCCCTCCCTGCTGCCCATCCTCATTCCCTTGGGAGGCCCCTCATTCCCTAAGGATCCCCCTCATTCCTCAGGATCCCCCTCCTCCCCTCAGGATCCCCCTCATCCCCTCAGGATCCCTCTCATTTCCTCAAGATCCCTCTCATTCCCTCAGGATCCCTCTCATTCCCTCAGGATCCCCCTCATTCCCTCAGGATCCCTCTCCTCCCTCAGGATCCCCCTCATCCCTTCAGGATCGCCCTCATTCCCTCAGGATTGCCCTCATTCTTCAGGATCCCACTCATTCCCTTAGGACTCCCTCAGGCTCCCACTCCTTCCCTCAGGACTCCCTCAGGCTCTCCCTCATTCCCTCAGGACCCGTTTCCCGCCTCCCGCTCTGGTCCCGCCCCGTTGCCGGGCAACGCCCCCTCACCGCGCGCCCTCCACACCTCGCTCCCATTGGCTTCCTCCTCCGCCGCTCCGCCCCCTCCTCCCCTCCCATTGGCCCCTCCCTCTTGGCGCGCGGGCCCCGCCCGGTCTGTGCCCCTCCGCGGCCGCCGTCGCTGGGCCCGTACGTGGCAGCGGGGGCGGTGTTGGCCAATGGGCGGCGGCCCCGTGCGCCGGAAGGGGCGCGGCGCGGGCCGGAAGCGCCGCCGGGAGCCGCCGTGCCGGGCTCCGCCATGTCGGCGCTGCGGGCGGTGCTGGCGCTGCTGGCCGCGCTCGCCGCCCCGGCACAGCCCTACTTCGTGAGCATCGACGCGCACGCCGAGGAGTGCTTCCTGGAGCGCGTGCCGTCCGGCACCAAGATGGGGCTCATCTTCGAGGTGGCCGAGGGCGGCTTCCTGGACATCGACGTGGAGGTGCGGTGGCGGCGGCGGCGGCGCGGGCAGAGCCGCCGACCTTGGACGGCGCGGCGGGGCCGGACCCGCCGCGGGGTTCGGGATGGTTCGGGGCGGTCCCTCCGGGGTCTCCGGGCGGCGGGAGGGACCGGGGGCCTCTGCTGGGGGTCGCTCCTGCGGTGGCTGCCCGAGCCTGGGCCTGAGCTCCTGCTCTGTCCACCCTTCCCTCGGGGTTTTCTTCCTCCGTGTAATGAATTATGGGGCGGGAGGAAGAGCGCGGCCGCTCTTCGCCTGCTCTGGGAGCGCTTCCCCTGGAACCCAGAGGGGTTTGCTGTCTCTGGTCAGGGATTGCCATCGGGAAGTCGTGGGTGAGCCCTTCTCGCCGAGGAGGTGTCACATCAGTGGGAGATCCCGAGGGAGAGTTGCTGTTGTTGTCGCGGTGAAGAACAGAGTTGTTTGGTTGGGGCAATTTAAACGCGAGGGGGGATAAAAAGCGGGGGGGTTGTTGCCGAGAGTCCTGTGACAGTTTAAAATTACACGTGGCTGTGGCCCAGGAGCTGGGAAATTGTGAGATCCCGTTCACGTGTCACCAGTGGAAGCTCAGCAGCAGCTTGGCCTGGTGGGATGGAAATTCAGGATCGCAGTGACCCCTGGGAGCTCTGAGCTCAGGCTCTCAGTCCGTTTGAGGTGGTCACTGCAGCAGTGCCCAGCTGAGTGTCTAAAGTCATATTGACTGTTGGAAAATGACTCTTTCCCCTCTTTGTTTCTCTTTACACACCAGAGATAAGGTTTCCTCTGCACTTGTTTGACTTACAGCCCCAGACTGTGTTTTCCTTGTTCTTGGGTGCTCCTTATCTCCACCGGGCAGGCCGGGGAGGGAGAGGCTTTTGTGTGACTTTCTTTACCAAGAATTTTGGGAGATTTTCCAAGAGGTTTCTGCGCAGAAAAACTGCCCCACTAAGCTGTGGCAGCTGAGCAGTGGCAGCCCAGGCAGATCCCAGCTGGTGTTGGTGACTGGGTTGTGGTTGCTGGGATGGTGCATTTTAACCCCCTGTGTTGGAACCCAAGTGTGTGATCCTTTGTTTCTCCCCCCTTTTCCAGATCACAGGGCCCGATAATAAAGGGATTTACAAAGGGGATCGAGAATCCAGTGGAAAATACACGTTTGCTGCCCACATGGATGGAACCTACAAGTTCTGCTTCAGCAACAGGATGTCCACCATGACCCCCAAGATAGTGATGTTCACTATTGACATCGGGGAGGCTCCCAAGGGCCAGGACATGGAGACAGAAGGTGAGGGACATTCCTGCAAGGGAATCGGGGAGCTCTTCCCTCCCTGCATGACTTGTGAACTCGATAGGGCTCCCAGGATTCCCGTTCCTTCAGGTGTATCAGCTGTCCTGGCACAGCTCAGGTGGATGTTTTTACCCCTTGTTCCGTACAATTTAAAGCAAATTCACCACAGAATCCCTTGGCCATCTGCAGAAACTAATGCTTCCCTCCTTTAGTCCCTCAGCAGTGTCACTCTGATTTCTAGTTGGCTCAGCAGTATTTTTAGACCTCCACGGGCCTTGTTTGAGCCCTGATAAATGTGCTAATATCAGATTTCCCCCCCTAGCTGTGTAAATGACTGTTTTATCTGCAGCCCTTTGTCCTGTACCCGTGTTCATCTCTCACACTTCTCTCTAGGTGGTGGAGATACCTGGGATGGTATGTGGACTGCTTTTTGAAAGCTCCTTGGCATCTTGTCTCTGGCACATGTTCATTCACTAACAGCTAACTTGGCTTTTCCTCCGTAACATTTGTTTGGAGCATGAGAATGTCTTGTTAATAAACTACCCAAAAGGTCTGATTCTGAGCAATGCTGAGCACCCCCAGCTCCCGTGGGACAGGTTGTGTTCAGGTGGTTGTTCCTGGCTGACAGAAGGTTTAATCAGGAGTTTTAGGTGAAATTCAAACTGAACACCGAACGTCCAGGAGCGTTGGGTATTCCAGGCAGTGGTTGCTTTCTGTTGCTAAAGGGGATGTTGAGCAATCCTGGGGTTTGGAAGCAATGAGCTGCTTGTAGGTTGTGAATTATTACTGATGTAT